AGCTGCTAGAACTCCTGACACACAGAAGGGATTTTTAATCCTCTCTGCTTCTTCTCAGCCTTCCCTTAACAAAGAGGGGCTTCCCCTACAAGGGCTTGTCTGCAGACAGCAGGCCACCAGAAAATAGAGAAATAACCCAAATTCAGTTTTCTCCGTGTGGTCTGTTGGATACTTTTTGATGGACAAGGGTGGTGGGGGGTGATGCTAAGGGAAAAGTATGTGGGGGTTTCCGTTGTGCTTTCACGTTCAGATATAAACAGAAGAGTAGGTGGTGTGTGGGAGCAATGCCCCAGCACATACCATTCATTCATGTGAGAATCATTCATATTTTGACCCAAAATAATAATAAAAAAAACCAACGGCTGTTTTTAATGCAGATTATATCAGAAGTAATCATACTAGGAAAGTGACCACTTTAGAATCTATGGTTTTACATAAATATAATTTTAAAGGCAAAGTGCTACCTATCAAGAGTAGAATGAGAGTCAGAAGCAAGAAAACAGTTTAAGCACCAAAAAGCAGGGTCAAGCCACAACCTGTATCAGAGATACTTACCAGTTTAACAGCCCTGTGCTTTTACATTTCTTACTGGAATTATTTAGTAAATTTAATACAACGCTCCATCAAAATCTAGCCTAGAACGAAATCAACAGGAGAAGTCAGAAGAACAGTATTCAAAAGCTACCTGCAGAACTATGGTTTCCACTGATGAGAAAAAGATGAGAGCATTTGAAGAAAAAAATAAAATCAGAAAAGTCAAGCTGGGAGATGAACTGAGATGAAAAAAAGCCAGTATTTTACTGCTCCGGACTCTTAGTAGAAAGTTCTACCCTAGGCAGAGATTTTAAAAAGAAGTAAGCCATGAAGTTGTAGGCATGTCACATTTGGCCTTTTACCATTTTCCTAAAGCAAACATTTCTGAACTTAAGACCACATTCACATACATGTTTTAAAGCTGCAGTAGAAATATGTACTTACAGCAATACAAATCCAGTTTTGTTGCTCAAGATGGAACAAAAACATTTTATGTTTTCCCATCACTTTAGTATTTGTGAGAAAAGTTTCTATTTTTCATGCAACTTCTGAAATAGAATACAATGCAAATTCTAAAAATTGAACAGATGTGTTTATTTTCAGACATTACTGTACATCTCTGTAAATACATCAAAGCTATTTGAACTCTTTGCTACACTCTCCTCTAACTTCAGCCCATGAGAAAACATTCTAAAAAACCTAAATTTAATCTTCTGAAGTTTGAATACTCCGAGCAGTATAAGGCACCTAGTGCACCCTACCTAGTGGCAAAAAAAAAAAAAGGTAATGAAATGGCTGTATGCAGAAATATTAAGCATGAGTTTGCGTGGCTAATTTAATTTTTACAGATGAACTCTTGTGGTACTTCATACTTTGCAGGGCCTCTGAAAAATACAGTACGCATCTGCAGCGTGTACTGCTACTCTGCTTCTTCAAGAATTTGAAAGATAAAGTAGGCTTCATGATGAAATGTGGGATCAGAGTGTTGTTATAACTGGGAAAAGCCTAATTATTTTTAAATCTCTATTAGAGTTAGTTGAAACTGTAACATAACCACACAGTACACCAAATCTTTGGCATGTCAGTTTTGTCACCAACTTCTCACTGCCTGAGCATGCAGTTTTCTCGAGTGATGTTTAGTCAGTTCAAAGAAATGAGATACAGGTTGCTCTAATATGATTCAGTGGTTGTCAAAACATTAAAAAAACATGGCGGAACTTGCAAGGAAAACTTATCAGCCCAGTAACCATGTGAATCCAAGAATCTAAGCTCCCAAATGCACAAGAAGCTGAAGTAGTCAGTAAAGCAAAAACATGGTGCAAGGTGAGTTCTCACTGCAAAGAGAACAAGGAGGCAGGAGAAAGTGTAGCCAATTAATAGAATACCCAGAAAACAAAAAAATATAAGTGAAAAGACTAGGACTGGTATCTCCTTCACTCTCAGTTGCAACACTTGAGTATCACTACAGATCTGGACATGCACAATACAGATAAACACTTAAGAATTCAGAGACAGGAAGAATCTATCCCTGTACAGTTTCTCTGACCCTGTTGGATGGTGGCAGCAGGTCCAAAAAAAAGAGAAAAAAAAATCAACTGAGGGGCTTCAACTAAACCAATAATTACTCAAATCAGCAGAATTGCTGCACAGGTTCTCTCTCTGAATAAGATTTGCCATATTTCAATCAAGGGGGAGAAAAGAATTAAAAATCATTGATCTACCACTCACAAGAGGCTGTCACTGGCTTGTCAGAGTCCTCCCAAAAGTGCACGTGGTCATTACGTAGGTGAAGGGAATGCACAACAGAATGAACTCGAGCCATTACTCAATATGTAAAGCTGCAAAAATCCCCAGGTGACACTAGTTATTTGTATTGTAGTAGGTGCTCTAGTTCCTTCTGTTTCAGGACAAAGCAATTTTTCACAAGAATCTTAAGCCTAAGTAACGGTACATGCCCCTCAAATTCTCCACGCTTTGCTCCATTTACCTACAAGTGACATGACCCCATGCAACCACAGTTGGAACAAGTGAAAGGAGTAACAACGCCAACTCCTTTGGGGGGCAGAAATAACCCCGAGGGGCAGCATTCCTATCAGTAGGAATGAAGATGATATAAATTAGCAATTCTTTTTCAGCACATTTCAAATAAACGTTTAGATTGTGACCACCTAACGACAAAATACAATTAGAAAAGACAAAACGCAGGAAAAATGCTTTCTGTAGAATTAATACAAGGACACAGTCCACACTGGTAGCAGCTCCAGCAGAACAGTTCTGAAGTTTCATGCACCTTCTCATTGAGATTGAAGTATCATCCAGGGGCATCACTCGAACAATCAATGTATATAAAAAGATAACTATAAAATCTTGTACACAAATTACCACTTTTTCCTTGTCATTTAAGGATGACACTGATTTTATTTTCCCTGTATAAAAGGAGACATTTTACTCTCTGCTGATTTAACAAATATTCTTAATATATTCGTAATAATAAAGCAGCTAGAAAGCTGTTCTAAGCTCTAAAAGAATCTTTATCATCTGCACATATGGTATATATTGTAAACATTCACTCCAAAAATAATTTTGATAAAGTGATTATATTGCACTCAGAACTCTGGGATTCTCACTCTCCCTTCTTATTTTAAATCAAAGGTCAGCTTCATTTTTTAATAAAATGGAGCTTTAATTTTCTACCAAAACCAAGTAGGCATGCAATCAATATAATACAATGTATTTAAAATGTCAGAAAAAGGGGAAATGTTCGCTTATGAAAGTAAGGGAAAATTCTCAAATAGGCCACATGAGAGTGGTACATTGTAAACATTCTGCTGGCTCTAAGGTGTTGCAGATGCTGTACAAAGTGTGGTCTACTTCAGCACCCAAGAGGTACAGAGAATCTGTTGAAATGTTCTGTACTTCAGTGAATTTCTGCACAGCAATGGCACGTGTCATAGGCTACGCACAGAGTAATGCATGAATCAGAGGTGGTTACTGAGCTAACATTGACCTCACAGAAACACAGACAGTCGTTACAAGTTTGCTGCAATCTTTAAATTCAAGTTTTCCAGGTAATTACATTTTCTAGCACAGCAATGAAACCGTTGCCCTGGCTGCAAATGAAGTACAAAACTAGATTCGCTACTTGTAGCTTACAGGGACTGTGTACCTGTGGCAGTCTGGACACTATTCTCAGCCTAAAATATCCCCTGTAAAATACCATCATGGAGAATGTCACCTTGCTTTGCTTGCAAGTGATGCCCTCCTTCATGCATTGGAGAGAGAAACACAGGTAGTGGAGGGGAAAAAAAAAAGAAAAAAAAAGAGGAAAGCAATGTCCTTATGTAGAAAACCATCAGCCAGTGTGAAGAGGCCACAGATCTTAAAAATTCAAAGGAAGGCTGTTTTCTCCACTCAGTTCTACAAGAGAAAGATCTCTTTCTCAAACTCATTATCTTCAGGTAAAATAACATCTTCGTAGTCCCTGAGATACTACAGCTCCACATAACCACCTTGGACAAATGGAGAGATGTACTTAGCATACAGATTAACAAGGTGGAGGCCAATATATAGCACCCTGAGTTGCCAGCGAAACAGCAGGAGCAGGCAACCCGTTCCTCAACAGCCAAGAGATGCAGGAGATAGCGCAGAGGAGGTATTGGCTTGGGAACGGTAAGATACACACTGCACTGGAGAAAAGAAAAAAAATGAAGTATTTCTAAAAGGCCCTCCCCAGTTATGGGAGCAGTGAAGAAAAAGCCAGCAGTCAGAGGGAAGAGCTCTCTGAGGACGGCCCTGAAGAAACACAGCCTTCTACAAGTACATAAGAACAATGATGTAAAAGCAGAGACACGTTAGGCAGTCTTGTTCCAAGCGTGCCCTAAAGGTTAAGCACTCTGGCAATGACAAACAACCGTCAGCAAACACTGACCCGTACTCTGGATATAAACCAGGAATATAAATACCTTTTCCCCTGAAATTACAGAAAAAAATACAAAGAGGAAAAATACAAAGTCACAATCGAATCAGATAATACCTTCAATAGTTGAAAATGTAATACTGGCTTCAGAGACAATACAGCCATCTGCTCTGTATCTTACATAGGGTTAATCATAAAAAAGAGGTGCTTGTAAAATCTTAAGTTTGAAATAGTTTATTTGCCAGTATATTGCTAAATAATTCTGCAGTTAAACCAAAAAGGAAGGAATACCAGAGATGAATATGGGATACTTACAACAAGAAAATGGTTGCTGAACCATCTGAATTTCTATAAAAGCATCAACAAAAATGTAAAAACACAATCTGACAAAATTAATTAGAATTTGAAGCGCCAGATTGTCAATATGAGTATTGATGGCTTTTTGCAACCAAGACCTAATTGTGACTTTGCCAACAAGTGGCTTCATAAAGCAATCAAAACATCTCTAAAACTGGGACTTGTATTTCTGCAACTTCCTATTCTCTCAGCTACTCAGCATTCAATAAATGATTCTCATTAGAAGAAAAATACTACCTGGTCACAATTCTACTCTCTTATGGAGTTGTGCTATATTTCAATACATTCTTGGGAAAATAAAGAAAAGTGAATAAAAAGCTGAATAGAAATAGACTCTCTATAAAAACTACCTGTAAAGTATCATGTCTGGAAAATATTTGTGACACTACACAGATTACTGCTGATGCAAAGAAAAAAATTGCAATTTAACCATTTCATGGATATGAACAATGCACTTGTTCCCAGCCATTTAGAATGATCTGACATTCCAAATGTTTATAAAAATTGGGTAATAAAAGAATTAAGTCAATACCCTTAAGTACAATAAATAATGGTCTTTATTATGGTCAAGGTTGACCATGAGCGTTTGTTCCATATCTGCTTGGGACATTTGTAAAACCAGTTCTGAATCCTTGAGTTGCTCCCATGTCCGGTATTCCAAATCCTTGATTGAGTACGCTACTGTAGGGTGCGGATCCATGATTAAAGCCCAATCCATAAGGTCTTGTCTGAGTGTTTAAGAGGATGACTGGACTCACATTTTTGCCTGGTGTATTAAAAGCAAATTCTGGCGGTGGGCTGCCGGGCTTAGACGGAGTGGATGTAACAGGGTTCAAATTATCAGCAGCTTTCAAAGACGGCATTGGAATAACGTGATGGTCCGAAAGGTTCAGAATATTGTTTGCAATAGGCACAGATGATAAAGTAGGTCTGATCCAGTCATCTTTGAAAATCTGAACAGTCAAGGTGGAGACCAATGTGTACAATCTGTTAGTGACATGGGCAAGCACCATCTGTTCGTTTGCATCTCTTCGAATTCGGACGTGTACTGACCCAGCCTAGAAAGTGAAAAAAGTTGGCTTCAGTAAAGATTCTTCAAATGCATTCACGAAGAGGTAAGCTACCCTGCAGAGAATTATGCAAAGACCTTTTGCAGTGAAGGCTACCAACTAAACTGAGACATTTCTGAAATAATTCTGTATTAGGGTACATTTTGATCTTTCCTAATGCGTTGATTTCTTACAAACATACCAAGTTCATCATTCAGGAAGAGTGAGGTTTAAAACCAAACTATAAAACACAACATATGATGGCAAGAAAGGAAAGGCAACAGCCAGGAAAAAAAGTGGCCCAAAAGAAGAACAAAGTGCAGACAAAGTCCGTATGCCAAATTTAGGGAATATTGGAGCTGGATATTGGGGTTGTCTGTTGGAGCAGGTGAGAGGACGTTTGGCAGACACACTCAAACTGGGACCATGAGCAAGACCAGAGGCAACGGCCCTTGTGGAACACACACAGTGTTTCCCCTGGACGTGCATACAAGTGCAGGCTGCCCCTGCCTTCCTCTCAGTAACGCTCTCCCATTTACCCTGAAGCACTGCTGCAGAAGAGAACAGGACACAAACCACAACTCCTCACGTGATGTTTCAGTTCATATTTAGTAAAAGAACACAGCTCACAGCTCAAAAAAAGATTCTACTGTAGATCTTTAGTACCTGAAGGTTTACAGTTTTTTTTCTCTCTCTCTCTCTCCTCTGGGTCAGCTGTCACTAATTTACTATTTGAAAAAAAAGTCTTTACTATCGGAGTTTTCTTCACTGCCAAAATACAAAAGAAGATCTACAGTTGCAAAATGCATGCTTTAATCCAGAGCTGCAATATACATAAATAATATTAACCAATAACAAAGCTTTAAAAAATATAAAGGACAGGCAAAGAGAAGTTTTGCAATAAATCTCAATGACTGAGCACTGACTCCATCCAATTTTTGTATTTCATATTTCATAAGAATATCTTGCTTTATTTAAATAAAAAAAAATAAAGTAGTAACTGACAACTGTTTTTTTAAAAGCTAAAAAGGCAACAGACAGAACTCACCAAAGTGCCAAACCCTAATGTCCAGAAATGCTCATTTCGAACTTCCAAGACACCATCCAAAGTTGAAACCTAATTTTACACAAACACCCAGAAATATGAAAATAAATTAAAAACAATGTTTCAAAACCTTCTAGAAATGTACTTTTACACAGTGGAACTTTCAGTTCGAACTTTCACACACAGAACAGACTACGTCTGTTAATGATGCCACTTAATGCTCATCTACTGTACTTTTGCTACCCTTAAACATCCAAATCCATCAAAAAGTGGAGTTAAGTAGCTCATTTCAAATAACTCTTGCTGCCAAATTGCACTATTTTCTAAACTCGGTGTGCTCTAAGTCAACAGCTGCCTGTACTCCTGTTCCTCCCCCACTCACATTTGTAAAGCACTTCAACTGTAGCTTGCATTTAGTAATAAAACCAACAGCACTACTTGAACAGATTTGTTCCAGACACCTCAACAACACCGTTCATCTTAGATAGCAAGATCCGTATTTTCTATATGAAGCTAAAAAGAATTATTAAAAATAATAATTCTTTAGTAGTCTGCTTGGGATTACTCATATTCCTGAATGATTATTTAATATTAGCTGTGCACATTGTGTTATGTGTTATACTCTGACTTACCTCTCTGAGAAGTTTATCTAACTGGCCAATCACATGAGGTGGGGTTGTCTTTGGAAAAAGAAAGAAAAAGAAAAAAAAGAAGAGGAAAAATAGTTGAAATAAAGACTAACTGGCCATGTTTAAGTAAGACAGCCTTTAAGTCTAGTCTATCTACATAAGAGACCAATGGCATTAAATAATAAATTCTTATGAATAAGTACATTTAACAAAACTTGAAACCACAAAAAACTGCTCCTTACCTGAAGCAGTACTTTCCCGCTGTAGACACTCATGGGATACATGGTACCAAATGTCATCAAAGCAATTGCTATAGCAGAGGCTGTGTCTACAGCAAAATAATTGCTAGAGAGAAAAAGCAATTTTAAAGAAAACCAGGTATTTACATTTTTGAAAGGCATAAGAATTTTCTTTGATTCTTTTTCATTCTTTTAAATTATAAACACTTACATAATATTATACGTACTAATCTAACGTGAACTACACATCTTTGAAAAAAGACAAGTATACTCATGGAGTTGCAATCCCATTCATACAAAATATAGCTTTTGATGAAATTATTCCTTTCATGTAAAAAAAATGTGATTTCTCATAGACTGGATAGAAAGAGTTATTTTTTTTTTAAAACAACTGTACCTACTTTATTTCAATAAGCATGTATGTAATGCAAAGAGCTAGAGCTCCAGCAATATCAATCAAGACAAAAGGGTTCATTCGTGGCAGGAAGATGCTACTCAATCCTGGGATGATTCCACAAATACTGTAACAAAATACAAAAAGCAGTTGTCAGCTGGCTTTTCATCACTGCTTTAAAACCCCAAAGTGTTACACCCACTCTTTCAGCATATGACTTCAAATACACCTTGCGGTCATAACAAATGATGTCTCTGAGGGCTGTAAAGGCCCTTCCGATTCTGCTCAAAGTTTTGTACCCGTCTGCCGTCAGCAACGGTTAATCAAGTTTAGATCCAAGTCACATTCTCTCTCATATCTGACCCTAATACTTACCTCTTGCATCTTAAGTTTTCTTTAAGTCTATCTTCCCACATACAAAACCTTATACTACACTAATCTTTGTGCAGATTTTCTACACGTTAAAATATGTATGTTGCACTGCCTTCTTTTTTTCTGGTAGCATAGCTAGCTGTGTCAGCTGTACGCAACCCAAATACTTTACAGGTTCAGATACACATATGTAAGTCTTGGGTGGTTCACACATCACTAGTCTTCAATCCATCTGCCACTTTGGTGTGCAGAATTGTTCTAAAGCCAAAGCTAACTAATTCCTGGAGGCTGAAAAGAGAGAGAAGGCCAGCTAGCTGAATAAGAGGAGACAGAAAAACCCCTGAAGGAACACTGAAAACTAAGCTACTTTTAGTTATCTCCTATCAATGGCAGCATGAGGAGAGAAAAGAGTTTCTGTAATGTGAATGTAAGTGCATGTCACATACTGGAAAGTTTAAAGGAAAAGACAACATGAAATGTATTCATGCTCCATTTAGAACCGACCTATGTTTAGACATCATGTGCTAGTCTGCTCCTCTAAGAATTTTAATCAATGTAATTATATACAGATGCAGCTATTTTCTAATCAGCACTGCTTCACAGAACACATCTGAAATAGCTGTATATATATTAATCAGATTTAGTAATTAAAAAAAAAGTCTTGGCATAAGTGTCTAGGAGTTAGCTCAAAACTCAGCAGTAATGCCAGACTCTTGATCGGCGAGACCTTCAAGTTATCCATTTGTGTCCTTCCCCATATGACCATATTACCACATTGTTGAAGAAAAACTGGCAGCATCTGTGATGGCTATCAACTTTTTTTTTTTTTTTAAACACTGGAACTGCAGGTACTTGGGCAACCCTATTGTTACTCTTCCAAAGCTGTTTTTCATAATTTGGGTCTGACAACGAAATACCTTCAACCCATATAAAATCGATCCTGTTTAACAAGCCAGCGTTCTCTGCTTTCCTGAACTGTACACAAAAACCACAACATGCAGAAACAGATGGGCTTTGCAACATATTTAGAAATGTTACACAATACAGTTTAACATTCTTATTTTGATACTGAAAGCATAAGTACTTGGGAGAACATGTATGGCTCAAAATAAACGTTTCTGACATCTGACAAAATTATCTGCAAACAATGTTATCTTCCATTCAGATATCCAATACAAGCAAGAGAGTTAACAGACAAAACAAATGAGCAACATCGGCCCCTGGAAGACACAGACTTTCCAGTTTCCTGCTGGACTGGTGAGGAGTTTCTGTAGCTATGTTTCAGTGAGTGACCTGTTCCGTATATCAGATTGAAACTGCAAGTACCCTACTCACTTGCCCACCCCACAGAGTAAATAAACAAAAATTACTACAAAATATATCGCTCAGGTAATGACAGTCGAGAAATGCACTTCAAATCAGTACAGTACAAAGCCAGTTTACCTCATCCATGGAGAATTACCTACAATGCACTGAACACATTAAAAAGGAAAGTTATGCAGAGAGATGTATTTCTAATAGATTGATGCACCTGAGAAATATGAGAGATGTTTGCTCTAGAGCTCATACACTAGACTTATAGTAGGTAAAGCTACTGTAAGAGCTCTAATACACAACAGTTTATGCCTCAACACCCATTCAAATTGTTATTATACACAAAAAAACCTACAACACTGCCTTGCAGAGGCTAACAGTTTTGAAAAACATTATTAAGCCTTACCTTCTACTAAGATCTGCAACATGTTCCTGAAGCCAACTTGTGCTGGCAGCTGCAAAAGTAAGGCAATAAAATTATTACAAGTAAAGGTATCCATTTTAAAGTACATTTAAAGTTTTACTTTAAGGGAATAACCCAGTACACTGCAAATGAAAAGAAGTATCTCAGCAGATTCCGTCACTTGAAAAAAATCAAAGTCTTACTTT